CCTGAGACTGCAGCGACAGTTTGCAATCACCGTCTGAGGACGGGATGATTCCCGAAGAGCCAGGTAGAGACGTCTTAAGATACCCACTGCAGTGCCTGTGATGCAGGTAATTATATATGTCATATACCAAACACTTATCATAATTGCACGAATCGGACGACCATTATGTAGCATATCAGTCCGTGTGTAAAACTTAAATTTGCTACCGGTTAAATATAAAGAATTTTTTATACATGGCGATAAGGGTTCACCGTATTAAGTACCCCGTACGTTCCACTCACATTTTACAACAAAATTATAGTAGTGTAAAATATCGGTCGTTTTGAAGAACATGCCCTGAAGCGTTCATCACTTCTGAGTGACTTGCTTAATTCATGTTTCTGGCTTAGCAAGCCTTGGCCACTTGCTTAGTCACTTGTTTAGAAATTTCACTTTGACTTAGTTTTCTAAAACACAGGGCTTCCCTAAGCTATTACGGTTAGTGATGTCGGCTGGCGACTCCGACCCTTACAGTGAGTTTTTGACTCATCGTTACCCCTACGTGGGGACTTTCAGGGCGGGTCGACCCTCCAAACACAGTCTTGAGAGTTTGTTTTTTTTACTCCTCGCGTTTTCTCTTTCGACGTCAGCTCCGTTTTCAGGACTAGTAACTCTTTCTTTCTTTGTTCTTGACGTTTGGTTTTTGGATACCAATTTTGTTCTTTTTTCTGAATATCAAAATGGTACTAATGTGTTTACTAAACAAACGTTGAATATCAAATAAAAACTTTTAAATAAAATAAAACGAACTGAGTCAAAAAAAAGAAAAATTTGAGATCAAACAAAATAAGACTCTTTCACAACGAAATAGAAATACTATGTTTTTGATTAGGGTATCTCCACTGTTGACTAAATCATACTTATCGACTTATTTTTACATGGACGTAAATAATTTACAGTCGATTTCTCCTCACTTTACTTTTTGGGAGTCGTAAAGACACTTCTATTAACTGTAATAATTACAGTCCGTCGTTTTGGTAATGTTATTAATAAATAGGTTAACCCGATTCGGATCGATTATGTCTGATTAAAGGTTGGTGAGCACTGGTGTGGGTGGAAAGAAAACTTTTTTGACCCACTGTATGACAGCGGGAAATCAGGGAGAGAGAACCCAGGGGAAAGAGAGGAAAGAAAAGAAAGAATACTTTTCGGACTGAACATCAGCACTCTGTACCATCGCGTGCATGTCTACACGTACTTAAAGTTCTGAGGTCGGAATGTCGAAGGACGAAGCTGGACGGATTTTGGTCATATTCTCTTACAATTCGGGAGGTGTATAAAAAGGTTTCTCCCGCAACGGTCTAAAAGTTAAAGTCCAAAATTTGGTCCTCTACCGCGAAGTAAGGTGTTTTATGTCTTTCTGTTCAAAGTACCTGGAAAGTCAACAACAAAACTTCTCGTAAACTTGTGTAGTTATAAAATCTAGTGATTCATATAGATTAGAACATTAAGTTATTTATATTATCAGAAATATATAATTTATTAGTATATAATATTACATTTCAAGAATGTAATGTGAAGAAATAAACAATACGAGTATGAAAAGGAAATGTAGCAAACGAAATTATACGTCACTATAAATAAAAAAAAAAAAAAAAAAAAAAAAAAAAAAAAAAAAAAAAAAAAACATATAAAAAACACAAACGAAAGAGGACGAGGGAAAGCCTGGTATGACATACTAATAATAATAATAATTATACTTCTATAATAATTCTATTCTATTCTTATCTCTACAATGAAATAACTAACTTTGTAAAATCAATCTTATACACGACAGGAGTGCCATTAAGTCTTCCGAGTGTCCAGTGTAAGGCTGGTAATAAAATTTTGTTATCACGAAAGTGTAGGCAGATGTCTAAACTAAAACATTATCTCCCTTGGAGACACCGACTTACCGGTCTATCCACACCGCGTAAAATAGTAGTCCATTGTAGTCTCGATTGGCACCGGACGGCAGTCCTAAACGTACAATTGTTTTGTCTACGACTAAAATTCTTGATAAAGAGTTTATTCTTACTATCTTATTATCTTATTATCCGCATAAGGCTTGCGACCAAACGTAATTAATCACTTCAAATAAATTCGTCGATTCTATGACGGTTAGTCCAGGTTAAACACACTACACTATCAACACACACACGTTACATTGAAAAAAAGTTAATTTTTATAATTCCAGAGGGTCAGGCACTGAAAAGGACTTTCACACATACATCCGTGGACAACCGTCTAAACTGCCATCCTACAAACTGTTATTTGGTTGGAGGCAGAGGCGCACAGCAAACATTCTTGACCCATGTTAAGCATTTTTACCTTCCCTGATTGGCTTTGATGGTCTTACGTGCAACACTTTGTTGCTAAAGCTAACATGAAATACATGCAAACCAAGTTACTGCTAACAGTGTAGTTCCCCTATATAAAACGTTACATTCATAATCAAATGAGACAGTCTGCAAGAGAATCAGCTATGTTTTGTTATTCTTAATGCTTGTCATTCACACGTTAAGAAAATAAGAACTCCACCGCCCAGCGCCCGGACCTAACGGAGCCGCAGTGGGCTAGCTCCGGGACGCCGGCTGGAGCTAGCCCCCTGCGGCTCCGTTAGCTCCGGCGGCCACCACTGGGATAATTGGGTCCCCTATTAACATTTGCTCCCGTTTAGCACTATGGGCGTCATAGCCATAGACTATAAAGTCTTACCCAAGACTGAATCATAAACTAAAATGTATATGTATGTATAAAGGGTTACGTCCTTAGCTGGCTAATAAGTAAAAAGCTAAGCTACCAAGCACACAAACACCTGTGAACGGGACATGTATAATATTATCATTTTAGACTTCTTGGAAGTTCTGTTAGTACATTCAAGCGCACAGCACAACATTTTAATTGTCTGGTATTTGTAACAATATTCCCTAAAAGGCACAATCACCACGAACACGGCTAAAGCTAAAGGGTCAAGTACAGTAACTACAACTAACTAACGTTGTAGCCTCTATGGTTGTAGCCTAGCAGAGTGGACAAGTTGCTGTTAGCTGACAGTGAGGCATGTACATGTCCATCAAAGTGACCACGCCCTAATTTATGCAAAAATATTTAAGGCTTAATATTAATTAAACAGATGAGTTGAGAAAAAATTCACCCCCCCAATCCATATTCATGAAGGGGGGATCTAACTATACAGAGAATATGGTTTTTTGAACCACGATGTAAACATGTTTAGTTCTGCTCTAAAGTTGGGCATTTTAACATTGGGGTCTATGGAAATTGCTCCCTTCTGCAGACTGCTCCTACTGGCCACTAGATGAACTGCAGTTTGAGGCACTTCCGCATTGGCGTCCCGGCTCTTCCCCAGAGTTTGCCGCTTGAGTATGAGTGAATAAATTCCTGCAATGAGGTACCTGGATATCGGCACAGTCTTCTTTACTGGAGCCAAGTCTTTGGGCTGCACTCTTCTTCAACAACTGAGAAGAAAAAGAGTTGCAAAGTCACTTTAAAGATTGATGATTTTGCACAATAATACCTAAGTTTTGAAATAATCAATCATTTATCTTTCAGAATTCATACCAGGAAAATAACAATTACGATAGAGGAACAGATAGGTGACATAATTTGTGTTTAATTTAACTGATCTAAATGTGCAACCTTGCCAAAGCACCCAAGCCCATTCAAACTCAACCACATCTCAAAATTGCTCTGTTTAACACCCTTTTTCTAAATAGCAATGGGGAAATGTTCAATGAATATGTAACTAACAATAATCTGGACTTTCGCTGTATCACTTAATCTTGGCAAAAAAAATGCAGTAATATTTTTCACTTAACCAGACCAGAGAAACACAGCTGGAAAAACCACGCCAACATGAGAGCGGTGGTGGAAATGTACATCTCCCGCCCCCCCTGTTTTCCCTTTTGACCCATCTGATTACCTCACATAATTCTTCCCCATCCCTCCTTCTGTAGTTGGCAATTTCAACATCCGCGTCGACTCAACTGACACTTGGACAGATCCTTCATTTTCATTGTCATGCTGTATCTTTTTGTGTTTTACTGACCTTCTTGATGAGGTCCCTGGCATCGATGGTCAGGTATGGAGGCAGATTGATTTTACACTTTAGGATCTTATCCATGGTCTTCTTCCTGTTTTCAGCTGTAAATGGAGGCTGTTGGAGAATCACAGGGACAGTATTCACTAAAGAAGATCAAAACTAATGCTTTCTCTAGTCTATAATTAGCAATCACAGCAACAATAAAAAGGATCACTAATAAATAAGTTATATCTCTTTTCTATCAGTTACTCTTTCTCCAAATAATATAGTTACCCTTAGGCCATGGGTGTCAAACTCAATTTAATCGCGGGCCACATCAGCATTATGGCTGCACTCAAAGGGCGGGTTGTAACTTTAAGACCATATAAAAAATACATATATAAATATAATAATGTATTATATTAAATTATTGCCTCTGCATTGGATTATTATCAAATAGAGTAATAACTTCATAATTAGCTACTTCTGAAAGCAGAAATCTGGGGCAAATAATTGCAAGTATCTTCAGTGAGAATGTCACAAAATGATTTAAAAAGAAAAGCCAAATTCTGGAAAAAAAAGTCAAAATCAAAAAAAAGAAATTACATTTAAAAAAAAGAGTCTAATTCTGAGAAATAGGCATATTTACAAGAAATAAAGTCAAATTCTGAGAAAAAAAGTCTAATTTGAGATGCATTGTGGGACATGTAGTTCATGGGCAACGTGCTTCTGTAAATCATCATGTAACCGTATAATAAACATATAATATTCTTTGCAAGCTCTTGTGGGGCCACAGAAAATGAAGTGACGGGCCGGATTTGGCCCCCGGGCCTTGAGTTTGACACCCCTGCCTTAGGCAATTCTAAACAGTAACAGGCTTTTGTCAGTATAAAAAAAGCTAGTTGGTTTAAACTATTACCGCGCATTACCGTCTCCAGACACAGATTTTTCGTAAAAAGAGTATTTTCTCTCACAGATGTAGCTTACCGATCCGGTCATCATATCGTACATCAGGGCTCCGAGACTCCACCAGTCTACAGCTCTGTTGTGACCCGACCTGGTCAGGATCTCTGGAGCCCTGAAAATATACACAGAACAAACAGAAGGTAAAGAAGTAATCTGAGTTACAAATATGTGAGGATATGTGTGATATGGGCAGAATCAAGGGAAATAGTTTGAATGACTCAAAAGCATAGTGATTAACAATTACTCAAATTTAAGTTGCATTTGAGTTTGTATGGATGTAACAAACTCTTGTATCCTATAAATGATAAGGATGCGCATTACACATTTAACAGATGGCGAAGCGATCGTAGGAGCATCCAGTGGAATACAAAGACTTTAAAAATCTAGGGAGTAGGAGAGTGGCAGTGTGTGTGTGACCTGTAGATGCATGTTTATGTGTTACCCACATGTACTCTATGGTGCCACAGAAGGTGTGTGTGACGGTTCCATCATGAATGGATTCCTTACAGAGGCCAAAGTCAGTTAGCTTGATGTGTCCTAAAAAAGAAAATAACACATATTATAGTAAACCTATCCATGAGGTACCAAAAGGTACCTTCTTTTTTTTTTTTAACTTGTTATCAATAATGGGGACATGACTATCATAAAAGTATCTCTCAACAAGAAACAAAACAAACAAACCACATTAATTAGGGTGTTAAAGGTACATTTTTGTCAAATATAAGAGGTATTTTTTGAGGGACAGACATACAAATTTGAGGTCACACTTCAGACCCTGAAGGTCAGAATCTGGTTTAAAATCTAGTTATTTTTCCACTTAAAAAATACCAATACCACTTGCAAACACTTAAGTCTGTATTTTCTAATACATAAGCTTTATCCATTATAATTCAGCTTTAAATTCAGTTAGTAGGTCATCTTTTATTAATTGAACTTTTAAAATTCAATTCAGTCATTCAGTTTGTACCCAAAAAAATGACAGATGACACATGAATTAAGAAATCCCAAAATATCTGGACCTCCACCTGCATTTTATAGACAGTTAATGTTTTACATGATCATAAGTATTTCCAAGTTGTGTGTGTTACCTTGGTGATTAAGCATGATGTTTTCAGGTTTGAGGTCTCGGTAAATGATCCCGTTAGAGTGAAGGTGACCCAGAGCCAATGTGATCTCTCCTAGATAGAAACTACACACAGACATACATTAGTTTAAAACAACGCATCAGTATCATGCTTAAGCAATAAAAGAAAGTAGAATATTTGCAACTTGGTTTTCAAGATTGTGTGCAAGCGATTCCCCCGAGAATATGTCTCCTTACCAAGCAGTGTCCTCCATGAAGATTCCCTCCTTCTCTAGCTGCATGAACAGCTCCCCTCCTGATGATAAACAGGAAAGGGTTAGTGGCATTAGATAATTTTCTTTCCATTCTATTGCAGGTGTAAGGAATCTCTTTAGGTGTCATATAAGAGCTGACATTAGACTCTATCATAGGTTTCTACCCCCCACATCCACTTACCACTCAGACACTCGAGTATGAGGTAGAGTTTTCCTCCAGTCTGGAAGGCGTAGAGCAGATCCACGATGAACGGGTGTCTCACGGTCTCCAGGATCTCCCGCTCTGCTCGTGTATGGGCTGTGTCTTTTGCATTACACACTATCTTCGCCTAATTTGTTTTACAAGTGAGCACAATGCCATGAAAAAGAAGGAGAGATGTAAAGAGGGTGACCTCTTCGTGTACTGTTTCTCCTACGTTTTGTGTTTAAGGGGAGAGATGTGGGCTGGGACAAAGTACCTTTTTCAGGACCTTCATAGCAAATATGTTCCCGGTCTGAGCACCTTGAACCTTCCTCACCTGGAAAACCTGAAAAAGAGACACTTCGTTTTAATATTGGGATCATCAACACAAGGAGAAATTCTAGTGAAACTTAAAAAATGAAGTAGTGTGTATAGTTACATACTACTCAGTGCGTTTAGACACACACACACACACACACCATTTTTCAGGCTCCGGATATTCGGAAGTAATCAGCAGCGAACCGCTTCAACACGTGTATTTCGGTTTCTTCAGGGCATTCATTTTGTTATTCTACAGTATCGTTGTTTTATAGTTATTTGTTCATGTATAGCCTACAACCCAATTTCTGTTCTTTGAAATTGAAAAGGATATTGTATTGTGTTTGTTACTTTCGTTGCAGTTGTATATGTCTTAAGTGTAATTTGGCTTGGCTTCCTATTTTGTATGGACATGCTTTTATTTTGAAGGAGAGAGTTAGCGCTGGTTGACGGAAGTTTTTGTTGCTATGAACAACGTGACAGAGATTTAACGGAGAAAAAGTCATATCTACAATATAAAGTCGGGAGAAAGTAAACCGATAACGTGTAATGGTTAAAGTGTTAGCACCCCCCCGAAGAGGCACAAGCTCTTACGGTTGATTATTAAAAAATTTCAATAAGATTCAATCAAAAACGAATAACGAAATCCGAATTAGTACTCCAACGAAAACGAATATTCGGATACAACACCACCACACACAACCACACAAAACCTTGCCAATAGGCTCCTTTTCCGAGCACGGTCAGAAGCTCAAAGCAGTCCGGTCCCACTTCTCACTGTCTCCTGTTGACACTTCTCACTTGTCAGCTCCACCTCCCTCCGTCTGCACCACTGGATGACACAGACATTAGCAGTTTGGGTTAGAAAATACATCTCGTGCAATATATTAAGCATCCCATTTAACATGTTGTATTGTTAATTCACTTACTCTTCTGGTTCTGTTACAGTCCAAGTCAACAGACATCATCCTACAGATGAACAGCAAGACAATGAGGTTAAACAAGGTTAAAATATGGTTAATATTTTTTTTCCTATTAGCCACATTATNAAACAGCGTTCACTTGAATGGTGTATGCAGGACTGTAAGGTATTTGAAGCCATGGTGACGTGCATTTAGAACACACAACCTCCTTAAATATTAACTGTACAAACGGCAGATTTCTAAACGGAAGAACCCTATAGGAATTTTTTTTGCAGGGTAGTAGCACGTTTTTAGTCGAGTGTTAAGACGGTTCTGTATGTAAAAGTGTGATTTTATATTGCTTTCTGTGTGACCCAGGAATAGCCTTTCAACTGCTGGGAGACAAGCATCCATGTTGTGAGCTCAATTCATAATAAAATTGTCTTCTCCTCATACACGGTATATCAAGAGCTTTTTCTCCTGATCTGCAGTTTTTTTGTAGCTACACAACATTGAATACTGATTCATATGGTTTGCCATGCTTCCTTAACAGCCATCAGGGTACTGCAGCATACATGGGAAGCACATCTTCTTGTAGGACTCTGCTGTTAATAAAAAGCTGTCTTAAACGATAATAACTTAATCAGGAAGGCTTGTAACCTGTTTAGATATATTTCTATGAGCCCTTTAAATGTCATGGTAGCAGCACACCCATGGCGCCCATAGCAGCTCTGCTTACACTATTTCAACCTAAACCATAAAATATGTGGAGGCAGTGAAAGCTCAATAGACATATATTGTTAATATCACCAGGAAAGGATTTTATTCTGACAAATAAGGACAGACAGTAAAATAGGCATTACGGGGAATAAGCTTTCTACCTCTACAGTCTTTATAGGGCAGGTGTTGCTGCCTTTTCTTTTCTTTAGTTCATCCTCATTTACAGCAGCCGAGTATCTGTATGGGAATTATGACCATGGCTCAAAATGTAGATCCAATGCTGGATGTAGTGTGCGGTGTATGTAACAAGTTGAACTGTTATAGTGAGGGGTGGGTGAGCGTATAGCATGTCTGTCTTTTTTCTATTTATTTCCCTAACTGTAATAGGGTTAGTTAGAGTGATTGAATAACAATTACACCATGTCAGAAAAAGAAACATACATTATGATGTTTAAAGCATAGAAAGGCAATTTGGAAGTGTCTGTGCACTTGTAAATCCGTTTTGAATGCATTGATGGAACTGCCTCAAACAATGTTAAAAACCGGTGAGATGCTAGACATTTTAATTAAGACAAAATATGTCAAAAAAATATTTAGCCGAAGAACGTTTTGTACATGAGCAAGATATTTCAGTGGTCTGAAACCAAGCAAAACCACTCTCATCATCAGTAAATACATGTATTTCATGTACTAAAAAATGTTTGTCTAAGATTAAAGTGTACATGTGGGAATTTATTTTTGTGGTTGTCACTTAAAATGCTTCAGTGAGTCTTGTGCTCAAGCTCTCCACTCACCTGATGCAGGGATTCAGGCCTGGTAGGAGGTAGCAGAGGGAGGCCAAGAAATCATTTTAAATTCATGAAGGCATCTTTCAGCGGTATGCATGAGGCAACCGGTTCAATAATAAAAGAGGAACATGGTACTACTCGTCAGGTGGCATTGTACATGTTGTATCTGTTTGTGTGAACAATAATAAAAGCTTTTGATGTTACTGCATCAATGTCGAGCCCAGGGTTCTCCCCAGGCGAGTAGTGACGACAACTTCCCACTTTCATTTCTCTATTAATATTTCTTCGAAGACTTTGCCGACTGCCACTCATAAACTGTGAAGTTCACTGAGTCGATGGACAAATATCCACCAGTCTATTTGGAGCAAAACTAATTAAATATAACTGAGAGTCATGTGTTTGATCCAACTGCAGAGTTTATCCAAAGATTAAAATAAGTTTACCAAAACCAGGTGGGTTTGATTTGCAAAATCCCAATACTGAGACATACAGTATGCCACAACAGAGGTGATATCGATTGTATGTGATCAAAGCATTACAAAATGATTTTAAATGGTGGAATAGTGTGGCAGCGGGGTGTGGTTAGGGCACCGGCTGCTGGAGTGAAGGGAGTGGCTCGGCCGGAGGCCAGACAGCTGATCGGAATCAGGTAGGCGGCGGCGACACGGGAGTTTATACAGGTGCCATTCCGGAGGCCTAGGCAGGAGGACGGTAGTTAAAGACCTCTCTTTGAACTTCCGCCAGCTCCGGCCAACATCGCCCTAGCCGGAGGGCTCGCGGCCTGCGACGCGCTCGAGGGCATTCCTCTTTCGGGCTCAGGGAGCCGCGACGAGCTCCGCTTAGGCTCGTCTCGGAGCGAGACGACAGCGACATTACGAACCACAGAGGGACGTACACTCGGCTCTTTTGCAACTCCTGCCGACTGGCGTCGTCCAAAGGAGGAAGTGTACTACCGGGAGCAAGGGTTCCCGGCGGTTGACACTCGGAGAGGCCGAGTGTGTCCCAACGTTTATCCCTGCCTTTCTTGTCCACAACTGAGGGTCGCGGCAAATAAGTCGAGGTTTGCTTTGCATATGTGCCCAGAGTTTGCACGGGAGCACAGCCCTTGGAAGTGTCCAGGAAAACCGCTGGAGGTCCTTAGGCAGGCGGATAACGTTTTGTCTGGTCTTTGGTCCAATATTGCTGTAATGAAAATAANAAAAGTCATATCTACATATAAAGTCGGAGAAAGTAAACGATAACGTGTATGGTTAAGTGTTAGCACCCCCCGAAGAGGCACAAGCTCTTACGTTGATATTAAAAATTTCAATAAATTCAATCAAAAACGAATAACGAAATTGAAATCCGAATAGTACTCCAACGAACGAATATTCGGATACAACACACACACACACACACACACACCTTGCCATAGGCTCCTTTTCCGAGCACGGTCAGAAGCTCAAAGCAGTCCGGTCCCACTCTCTCACTGTCTCTGTTGACACTCTCACTTGTCAGCTCCACCTCCTCCGTCTGCACACTGGGATGACACAGAACATTAGCAGTTTGGGTTAAAAATACATCTCGTGCAATATATTAGCATCCATTTATACATGTTGTATTGTTAATTCAACTTACTTCTCTGGTTCTGTTACAGTCAAGTCACAGACATCATCCTACAGATGAACAGCAAGACAATGAGGTTAAACAAAGTTAAAAATATGTTAATATTTTTTTTCCTATTAGCCACATTTATCCTAAAAACAGAGATGTATTTCACATTTTTAATTAATATGATTGTGGCAATAATAATAATAATAATAATTCATTACATTTTTGTTAGAGCGCTTTCCCAAGTGCTCAAAGTGCTTCACATGACATATTACACATAGTAGACATGTAACAGTTATTACTTTGGACAATATCCACAGGTATCAGATCTGAACTTTTAATAATATCTGTAAGTTGTATGTACAGAGAAGTATCATGCGTTTAAAATGTTTCTAAAGTAGAAACCGCCTGGAATTAGACAAATTAATAGTATTCTTGTTATTGTGTATTTCAAGTAGACTTAGTGCATACAGACCTCTGTATCACTGAGGTCCTCAGTTTCCAAGTCTATGTCGAACACTCCCGCCATCCTAAAACAAAATATGTTACTGTTAAAAAGTCTCTTGTCTTTCATTCAACCAAAAGGAACATTTAATTTCATCACAATAAGCAATTACATATTTCTATAGAACTATGAAACATGCACATCTAATGAGCAATAGAGGGATGCACTGATGACGTCTTTTCTTATGAATATCCTAGCAACAGAAGGGTGATTTCACAAAAAGCAATGAGAATGTTCCATTAATTTGGGAATATTGCAGAAAATAATAACTTTGCCAAACGCATGGTTATGATACTGAAGCGTTTTGTTCAGCAAGGCAATAAATCACCCTGTGACAAGAACACTACCAAAGGTCTGCTGTAAATCTTGGGGTGATGTGAACATGTATACCATGAGACTATAGAAACGTTTTTCTACAAGAGGGAAATATTCTATTGAGATATCTGCATGTATAAGGCCACAGAAGGCAAAACTGTAAATCAAGTTCGATTACTTTATATACAGTAGAATTTAGGTTTACATGATTGCTAGATCAATATGATGAAGTAGCCTACCATGATTTTTTCAGATATCAAATGTGTAAAAAAAAAAAGATGTTTTAGACATTTGACTTTCACAATGTATTCAGACTAAAACTTGAATGATTATTTGTATTTAGTGTCCTAGAAATACCCAATGTATTCCCAACAGCAATATTTATGTTGAAAATACCCAGAATATCATATATATCTTGGGGAACCTGTGATAACTTTAGGCTTAAGGTGGTTAGTATGCTATCCTGCTGATCAAGCAAAAATGTGTTGTTGTTTTGTCTAACTCCTACAACATTTTCCAATTAAGTACTAAAGGTATTTGACCACATTTTCAAGTAAGTGACCCAGGGATAAAAGGTATGTTAACAAAACACACTAAAACAAAATGAGGGTAAGCCTAACTTCATATTACTTGGCCAATTCAGAACTAGTGATGGGAATTCCGGCTCTTTTTAGTGAGCCGGATCATTTGGCTCGGCTCACCAGGAAGAACCGGCTCTTTCGGCTCCCAAACGGCTCTTCAGTTTACCACATATACCTTTTATAATTCAATCAAATGTAGCCCTGTTTTGACTAATGATTTATATGTGTAGACCTATATCAATTACATTATTCAATACATCCTTTGTACTGAAGTTCAAAAGTAAAAAGTACATGTTTAATATAAATGATTTGCTGTGGCCAAATGTTTTCATTGCATTTACAGACCCTTGTAACTCTCTTGATACCACCCTATGAATGCACTGACTTGCTTGTAGAACCACGCTACACAAAGCAGATAGCAACACCTATAAAAACTTAAGCATAGACATTTTTTAAAAAGGGGCTACTGTATTGAAATTTTAAAATTATATTTAAAGAAAAGGCCCTGACAAAACAGCAGGGCTCTATTTGAGTATTAACTATAGAAAAAAGACAGCAACAGCTGACATCAAATCTTTGCTGAGCCTAAGGATAATCATAAATAAATAACATAGTGAAAATAAATATATTGCAATGCTCAGTACAGCAGCCCCCAACGGTCTCTAATCCTTGGATATTACATGTCACTGCATGCATGCACGGAGCAGCTGTAGCGCGGAGATCATCATATCATTATGTCTTGTATTACTTAACAACAACAAAACAAAAAACGGCTCGTTCGCGGGCGCGAGCCGGCTCCCGTCGTTCACTTAAAATCGACACATCACTATTCAGAACCTAAAGTTAGCCTAGCCTCTTCCAACCGTGTTGTATTGGCAAACACAACACAGCTAACGCACTCCTTTCAGGTTAAAATAGACGTTGACAAATCGTGTTTCTGTGTCCATAACGATTTGGCTTTAAGTATGGGATGTAACTTCAATGTACACGAATTAAAGACGCAATTGCTTAAAGACAGCTAGCTTAACTTCTATCGTTAGCATGCTAGCTAATCAGCTTACAAACAAACAACATGAGGGTATCACATGACTGAACACGTTTCATTACACTCTAAGGGAAAGCCCACAATAGGTGAGAGTGTTTGTGGGGTCGTTAATTGTTAAGGCAAATTACCAAACTGGTTAACAGTCTAACAATATTAAGTGTGAGTTAACATCAAGTTGACAGCTGGCTTGACAGGGATACAGCTAACATATATGCTAATGCTAACTATCGTTTCACCTGTGAACGCTCCTTCATCCAGTGGTTATTTGTCGCAGTCCGATAGTTAAAACCTAAAGCAATTTCTTTTCACAAAGAGCCGTGAGCTCCATTGGTCTTTTTACTCTTTAGTCAACTAACCAGCAACCACACACAGAGCTGTTTAAATTCCCTTTATTCGCCTCGTTGCAGCATGGAAGCTGCGAGATTTTGTTGTCACTGAGTGGAACTTTAACCTCTACGTCATCATGCACACTGAACACACAAAGTATATTGCTCATGACTGCTATTCATGGGACGAGATGGACTGACTCCATACCAAGGTAATATGATGTAATGCTTATATATTTTGTTCGAGAAATATATATATAATCTGGTAGTCATATTGATGATGATGGGGATACCACATCTGCTACAGTATCACAACAAGTGCTAATGAAAATACACATTTTAATAGATTTATAAGTAAATAAGTTAATAATAATAAAATAAAGCAAATATAACAATACAAATAATATAAAATAAATAATAATAATAATAATAACATGTTTTACAATTATATTGTTTTGGGGTGGAGGCAGATATTCCAGAGAAATATGTACCATGCCTATATAATCTAACACGAGGGGTAACAGGAAGGGGTAGGTAGGCTTCACCTACATCCCAAACAAAGTTGAAATACATGTCTTTAACCTTCTTGCACTTACGTCATCCTCACAGTCCACATACTGTTTGTATAAGAAAAGAGATAAAGGATGACACAAATCTCCATAAATCAATGTTCTCAAACTCAAAAAGTTTGAGAACATTGGGATTTTAGCCTTTGCAGACCATTTACATGCACAAAAACCTATAAAACACACTACATGAAAGGGAAAACCCCATAACGCATAGAGCATCTTTAAGTTAAGTATACCGTCAATTGTTCTAGCTAAGTCTGGGCTGCTTATGAGTTAAACGTGTTGAAGGTTATGCAGCAGGAAGCCATTGGTGACCGACTTGCTTGTCAGGCATGGGCAACATAGAGGTGTTAAATACAGGAAGTGGTCATGCACCACCACAACCTGTCACACCATTCTAGGTGGAATGGGACTTGGGTACTACATTCTGTGTATTTCTATACTATAGTATATTTTTTGCTAGCTGTGTTTGTGTAAGTTGTTAAATAGTATAACTGAAATACTACATTGTCTTGTGGGTTGTATTTTATTGGGTTTATGTTAAGTTAGCATAGTCTGCTCTGGTCATGTATATTCTTTTAATAAGGTACATTTAAAAAAAAATCCACCTGTGACTGCTTATGCTTGTCTCTCAAAGTGAAAAAACCCTCCAACTTATTACCAATATCTTTTATATTTCTTACCTTATTGATTTACCTGTTATCAGTCATGTCTAATAATCACCCACACCTGGCAAATGGAAGTATGGTTATCTGTGTTGAAAAAGCAAGCACAGTTAACAAAGGGTGCCAAGACTTGATAACTTTAACAGATTTCTTGCCTCCCATTCAAAAATAATGATAGGCTACTGCTCGCATATATATATATATGTATTTCCTGATGTTCAACTAAATTAACAGACCAAAACCAACAAAAGAATGGCTTCAGGGTATGTAAAAGTTTGTGAATTAAATACCCTGTCTTTAATTCACAAATATTTGTGTTTTCTATAGAACACTAACTTCTACAGAAAAACAGAACACTAACTTCTACTGAAGACACTAATATTTGAACACAGCTGGGAAAGTAAAGTTTCTAAAAAATAGTTTACAAAAAGTAAAACACTTTTAATTAAAGAAGAAGATAGTTAATTTGTCGGTAGACAAAGTAGATCAGTACTTTAAAGAGTGCAAATTGTAATGTGTGTTAATATTTACAGAAGGCAGGTAGGCCTATGTTATATATCAACCAGTGTGGCTCATTCAAATGCTCTTGTTATATTCTATCTAGACAACAATGGGGCTCTATGGCACGAAGGAATAAAATATGTGTTTGACACACAGACAATACTTTTTGGCCCCCGACTCAAGAGAAACTTGGCTAATTGAACCTCCTCCTTAAGTTTGACAGCCTCCTTCCCCCAAACAGATCCGATTTCAAATTAATTTGACTTAAAGTCAATCAAACTTTGAAATATCGAATTCAATCTAGAAGGGACTGGGGTGCGATAGAAAGTGAAAAAGTTCCTTCTGCCAAAATATTGATTAAAGGTAAAGTAGAGCTTGCTTTTTCTCTATAATGACTTTTAAGCTGTAAATTAAAGTACTAAAATGTAAAGCACAGTACAGAAGAGGATAATGTATCACATTTTAATCATTGTTGTTTTGAGCACAGAAGAGAAACATGTTTTATTCTCAGGGTAAATATAGCTTCATTACCTTTTGAGGTTTTCACTTTCCTTGAAGCCAGACAACCCCAGATGCACACCTTCCGTGGAAACAGTGACACGCAACTAAAAAGGAAGTCCGTGGTCTGTTAATGTCACGAACAGAAGAAAAAAATAGAGACACAAGAAGAAGAAGTCTAACTGGATAACAATGATCGTCGTTGGTGAGTAACAAAGACACCATTTCAATATAATTTTGGATATCAGAAAGTCACCTTGTTTTATAGGTAAGGAATAAGGTTATACTTTTAGATCAAGGTAGACTCCGAATGACATGAAACAACGACCAATGATTACAATGGCAAAAACACGCAGATGTGACGGCAGCAGGGGATGTTTCTGATTGATATTGCTTCTTCCTCCTTTTAAATTGTCTCAAGTGATGAGAAGGGAATGATAGTAATTGTTTTGTTGATGGAAAATGATAATCAAATCAACTATAATAAGGAGGTAGAACATGGGTAAAGAAAGATAAACTGCAAAAAGCCTCCATGTACAAGTGAATTTTAAGAAAATATTTAAAAATACTAACTTGGAATAGTCAGGTGTTGATTTCTAAAACTTCAAGCACCATACTGAAATCTTTAATCAATCATGGTAATCAGATGTGTTGATAATAGAACCAAGAAATGATGACCTCAGTCTGAATACAGCAATGTATTTTATGGACAGTAGCATATTACAGTCTTTGCTTTGGGGACCTATTATTGTCGTTTTCAGATGATTACTTCATATTTTTTCGGTCCATGCATCGCTGTGACTTAGAGGATTGCTCATTTGTGTGGTTATTAGTGCACATTAAACACTCTTCTGTGCTGGACAAACCCAGCTAACCACCGGCCAATGATGTAATTGTAACTTCATACCCGGTTAGCTGGGCAGAAATCATTTATCCTCTGTCAGGTGGGGTACTGGCAACTGTAAAAAAAATGCATTCCCACTTCCGACATCAGTCGGTGTGGATGGCCTCTCAAGTAAACTAGTTAAGTCTAGTTAATATAATATAAGTTAATATAAGTCTGGATGTGCGCTAAAAGAAGTCACACACAACATTTTTCATTCAGGAATTTTATTTGGATGCAGAACATATTTGTGTGGGTGAAAGCAATCCTATCGAGCTACGCATGTTTTTTAAATGTACAGTTCCAGTTACCAGTTCCTTTTTGTGTTGAAGGCGTACCATTGCATAACAGTGGAATTGCATGTTGTGGCCTACAAGTGCATAAAGGAGAATAGAGAAAAGCAGTGGAATTAGCATTGGTCACCAGAACAGAGATTGGCTATGGAGAAAGAAGTTCCCACAATTGTCAATGAAAGAAGTCTGTCAAAATTAAGAAAATTGGGTTAGTAGGCTGTAAACAAAAGGGTACAATTAATTTAAAGTCAAAAGGAGATATTTAACTAGCATCAGCACTACTTTACTACTATACTACTGTACTTTTTCAAAAAATATGTTTAAACTCAAATGATTGCATGTCAATTAACACTGTTATTGAAAAACATCTCTAAACGTTTGCTTTAAGTTTAAACTGAGTTAATAATCCATTTGATTCACTCTAGGGTTTATCATGATGTCTGGTATTTGGATGCCCTTTGTGCCTGCTGCTGAGGTCCAATATGTCCAGTACGGTTCAACAGTGACTCTTAACTGCGAGATATTCTACCGTCATGATACAACCTGGCTTAGGAACAACCCTGATTCCACCCCAACTGTGATCCTCAGCGCCAGCCTAACAGAGGCACAACCAGTCCAAGGTATTAGACAGTCTCAATTGCTGATTTGAACCAAAATTGAATCATAAAAACAACTGAAGTCTAAACTGAACTGAGGCAGAAGTCATACTGTAAACAACTCTTTAAGTGTCAAATGTGATAATAAAACTGGGGTAAAAAAAACTTAAACTGGGAATACAGAACATCAGAATCAGAAGACTGTTATTCGTCCCACAGAGGGGAAATGTACAATATGTCATATTGTTTGATATGTGCTCAACCGACTACAACTTTTTGCTCAGGGTTTCAGCTTAACCTTCGCTTCTCATTGGAAATAATGAACCAATCTCTGGCACTGAAGATCACTAATATTGAGGAGGGAGACCTGGGGCTGTACTACTGTATTGCTAATGTGGAGACAGCTTTAACGGTTGGGAGAGGAACCACGCTTCAAGGTAGATGAATATATTTTGTGTTGTGTTTACTAGGCCTTGTTGCACACTTGCTTATTGAAGTATAATGGCTGTATATCAAACCAGTAGATTTCTCTGCATGCGTCTCACTTAAAGGTATGTCACCTTGATAAATAAAAAACATAAATTAATAATAATAATGCAAATGGGAGGTATGTTGTGTCAGAGCTGACCCTTCAATCTCTTCCTGCCAAACAACTTAAGTCTAATACAGTAAATAAACATGCAGCATTTACAACCAGGGGATATATAAAGTTGCTTTTTTTGTACTAAAAAACACATGGTTACCAGTGTTTTTTACCCATTAGCACCATTAGGGTTCTGTGTGTGTAAATGAAGTACTTTATAAGCAAGTAAATGCCTTAATATTTACCATATTTGATGTGGAGGAACAGAAAATGTCAGGAAAAGTATGAAGTGTGATTTCATTATGCAACGTTAACAGTAAAAATCCAGTAAAAATGATTTTAACCACAGCTTGTTTTATTTCTCTCTGCATTTCTTCAGTTTCATCTCAAGGATCCTCTTTGTCTTTCTTTCAACACTGGTACTGTTTGGTTGTGGGTTTTGTTCTGCTTGTTATGGTGCTGGCTGTTTGCATCACCCACTGGAAAGCCAACT